CCAACTCTTAAATTATACCATAAGAACCGGAAAAAAAAAAAAAAGACATCTCAAATGAATTTTAGCATAACATTCTATCAAAAGATTTTTCCCCCTCATTTCAAATGATTCAGACTTCAAGTTCAAATAAAATTACAAGCAGAAAAAAGACTTTAACAAAGATCTACAACATTCACAGTCTCCAATCACACTCACTCCTCAAAATCAGTTGTCATATAACTTTAGATACACCTCATATCAGTCAGTATTCGCAACAGAACTTAACTTTCACCTTTCACCTTCCAGGCCCAGTCTATAAAAATGAACACATAACTTTCCCATCAGGGTACGGAAGGAGCATTCTGAACCTGGTGGTGTCATTAGATGAAATAAAATATTAGCATCATGAGTTATACTACATTTCAGGATTTACTGAAAAGCCGGAAGCTTTAAACAATAGGATAATGTAATAAGCATACACCAGTATGAAATTCAACAATTTAGATAATGTTGAAACAACAAAAATAATAAACTACACTCAATAAAATCAACTAGGGTTTAAATTCAAATATCCAGAAAGATTACCTGGGTTGCATATGATGATGAACTTGAAGCCAAATACTTGAGAAAATCAATCTTCTTTTTGCTGAAAGTCTGCTTCGCCATGTCCAATAATGTCCTTTCTCTATTTATATCCTCCAAAAAATTTCCCTTCTTACATTGAGCGTCCTTCATTTGCTTCTCAATTTCAACTTGCTCATCAAGCCCCGCTGATCTATCTGGTTTGAGGAATCTCACATTAACATCTTCCCTGCAGGCCCCAACAGTTAATTTTTTTCAGTTCACATATTTGATGACTGTACTCTTCTGGAAACAAATTAAAACAAACAGCAGTTTCACGTTTCTAAAATGCTTATATTTTTAAAAGGATTTTAAAACATCTATTTTGTCAGACCCTTTTTTGGACAGCTTTGAAAAATGCAGTTAATCTAGCAAAACCACCTCTTGAGAGATATATGAAAAGATTTCAACAGGATATAGTTTCAAGAAAAATTAATCACCCATATATATAATTTAAAAATAAACCGGCTTTTCACATTCTTACCTATTGCCCAAGGAATATACACCACAACTCCTAATCATTCCTCCATCTAAAGAAAGAGCTCCGTCAGTTATGAAAGGAAGTGCTTGCATCATTTCAACCCTAGTCTTATATACTTGTAGACGAGAAAAGAGATTATAGAACAGAGTTTCTCTGAGGCCAAAACCACTCGGAGTTACACAAAATAGGTTCACCGTGTCTATATTAATCATATTCACAGCAAACCCAAGAAATCCAGACGGATACTCCCCATTGGGCAATCTTGGGTTTAAAATGTCCAACTTCCTCTGTGGATCATCAACCACGTATTTACCAGCATAAGGCCTAAAACAAAAAGAGAAAAAGGTTTAAAACACAGATTTATCCACAATCACAAATAAAAGACAAACCAGATTCTTGTAGTCGTGCCTTAGAGATTCAAGACATATGACTAAAAATCGACCATCTAAAGCCCTTCCAATACTTGCACCTAGCCCATGAAGACCACTACTTCTATTTATGCAGCCTTCCTTGTCATACATTTCGATAGCTTTAACTCCTTCATAAGTTTTACATACAATTGCCAACATAGTCTCCACTCCGAGATACTCTGAGAAAAGTCTGCATTTCATAGATATTAACAAAGCAAAAAATAAATTACTTTTCATCTTGCTTAAAGATAATGTGACAAAGACCGAAGAAACATACAAGCTATTACAAGATCGAAATGAGTGCGCATGATTTTGCTAGCCAAAAAGAAAACATTCATACAAAACGTACCTGCTGAGATTGTCCTCCTCAATTCTTCCCAGCATAGGAACAATCCCTAAAACATCCTTTGTTAGTGTAAAAAGAGAAGCATGCTCTCCATAACAACTCTTTATCTGGCACAAAACACCAGCAGCAGATTTTTCATGCTGCAATATCTGTGTATGTACCTCCTCCTCTGCATTATCAAACATTGATGTGCTTGAAGAGTTTGATTTCCCAATAGCAACTATGAATAAGAAAAAACATAAGATACCTTTTTGTTGATAGATAGATAGCTATTACAGAAATAATTTAGTAAAAGATATTTCATGTTTAAAAAATGAAGGGGGACAATTTGAAGTTTATTGCATCCTTATTCTTAACAGTGAAATAATAAAAAACATGAGATAGGCACTTCAATGTTCAGTCTATGCATTCCCGAAACATATTACAGTGCCCCGTCCTAGAATTTGGGGTCGGCCAATCTCAGCCTCCAAAGCTGATTGGCCTACTGTTTACTTTCCATATCTCTTGCTAATGGGGATGATCTCAAGTTTCGGGACCACATAAACTTAATAATCAAAATATTATTTATAAATAAACAGATAAAACTCATGCTACCATCATAATAAGAAAAGTTTAGATCATTGATTCAGTGGATGCAATTTACAGAATTAGGTTGTCAATATTTTTCATGATAAGTAGCTTCTTATCCAGTTGCAAAAACAAAGCAAAGTTATCTTAAAAAGTGCAAACAAATTTACCTTGCAAATGAATAATGGAGTCTTCTAGTTTGACCTTTTCCTTGTTCAAAAGACTCAATCTGTCCTCATGCTGCTTAATTTTCATCCCAACCACTTCCAGATCCTCTTGTAGTTTCTAAACATATTACATAGAGTTAATATTCTAAAATTCATCATCACTCATTTAAATTCCAGAAACTTAAATCAGTATGTATATATACATATTATATCGTACACACATGCAGTACAGAGAAACAACATTTTCTGTTTATAAAAACAATATAAACTATAACCAACCTGGGAGTGCCTGATGATATTTTCTGCATTTTTAAATTCTATATTTTGCACTTTGTCTTTTGTGTCCATGGAGCTTTCACTCAGATCCATTGGCACTGATGTCGAGATCCCTTGGAGAGACACTGGCGTCGTATGAACCAAATCCTGCACAAAAAGAACTTATTCACACACATAATATCTACAGATAATGCTTACACACAGGAAAAATAATTAGTTAAATACTAGGTACTACTTCAACAGGTAGATTTCCCAAAAAGTCTGTCCACCCCCAAATGAATGATCAATCATCCAGTCTTTAAATAAAGAGATATTGGGAAGTTTAACCATATAGATTCATGCTGTTTATGAGTGGATAAATTTCCTACTCACTTCAGATTTCATTTCGCCATTTATTTTTATATTAATACTTAATTGCTTCCATTAAAGTAAAATGATCACGAAAATCAGGTAGAATTTCATAGTTAAAAGGGGGAAACGAACTTCCATAAATACAAGGTTAGCATAGAAAAGAAATTTTCCTTTGAAATTTCTTAACCAAGCATAGTAAAAAACACTAGAAACCAAATTTCTTTCATAAAAGAGCCATCTCTAACCTGCAAAATTGCATAGTAACTACAATGCGACCGAAAAAAATGTAGATTATATGACAGAATTTAACAATTCTCTTGAACTTATTACCTAACGCAAAGAAAATCTATAGACCTTAAAGTAAGTTGCGACAGAGTAATTACGAACAAATATCTCCGATTAATAATTTCATATTTTACACCAGAGTAACTAAAATCTCTTTTTTCCAATTGATAATTTCATAATTTTTCTCTGCTGATACTTAAACCAATCATAATCAATAACACATTTCAATCATAAAAGAGCCATCTCTAACCTGCAAAATCACATCGTAACTAAAATCGAAGAACATCTATAGACAGAGTAATTAAAATTTGTATTTCTGAACAGATTCCTCCTATTGAAAGCATTGAGATTTTGAACTGAAAAAGTTCATGAAGAAAAAATGAAAGTAATTTACGAAGGCAGTTTAAAATCAAGCTAGACATGAGAATAGAGAAATATGCAGAGAGAAACTAACCTGGTTGCTGCTGCTGCTTGTTGGTTGAGACATGATTTTGTGAATGAGTCTGCGCTGCGAGTTTGAATTTTCGAAAATATGAGTTGGGTAAATTGAGTAAAGAAAGTGAAGAATATAAATGAGTCACTTGATGATGCGTCACGTCGTTTTAGAATCGGTACCTGCAATCGCAATCACGTACGGTGACATAATATACGGTTTGATCAAAATCAATCAAAAACACCTGATTGATTAAGATCCATCGGTTCCTATCGATTCTCTAGATGTTTCCAACCGCATTGAATCTGCGTGACTTAATTGGAATAAAAAAACCGCAGTTGTCTTGGATTGAATATGTTTGATACATAGAGTAATGTTTGTTCCCTTAATCATATACTTGACACTCAATAAAATCCAATTAAATCCTAGACAAAAAAATCAAATTAAATGAATTAATTTTTTATAATGGTCCTATCATTGCCTCTGTGAATTTATCAACCTAGACTGCAGAGTAATTTTGCTTTTACAAAATTGTTGCACTGCTTTAATTTTAAAAAATTCAATAATATACTAGTGCACAGTGTTGTCGATGGCAGATGGCGGTCCATGGCAGAGAGGCAAGATCCTGCTGTACCGGACCCTTTGTGGCGCCGTCATTGCAGATAATGGCAGAAAAATCCACAATATCAGCCCATATTTACCGTTGCGGCTAGCCGAAAAACCGCTACTGATATCTGCCATAGCCGATATTCAATAACACTGCTAGTGCAACTAAATGAAAATAGGCTATTGACAGTGAACTGAATCCATTAGAAAAATTTGTGCTTCTAAGAACAAAAGCATCAAACATTAACATCTTACAAAACCGAAACATGAGTACACAGAGCTGTAGGTACGGAATACACACGAGAGTGGAGAAGGTAAAAACTCGTTTACCTGATCCCATTGGCCCCATCAAAAGGATATTACTTTTCTCAAGTTCTTCATCAGCACCATCAACAACAACATTGGCTTTACCATCATTACTTGAATCTCCTGCAGGCCTAACATTCCAAATAGTAACAACATGAAAAAATCAGTACATCTAAATAGAATTGAAGTGATTATAAACCGCCACAGAAAGCACCTACAAATCCAATTAAGGTTACAACATTAACAAAATCACCATCAATCACTGAAAAGAAAAGCATTGAAAAAAAATCCACACACGCACCTTTTTGGCTCCCTCTTGTCCAATTACGAATTTATCAAGCCCCTTACAAATTTCCTTCGGAGTAGGAAAACTGCCTCCCAAATTGGACCCACTCCAACACCCGTCTTTTGAATTCTCCGACCCGGAATCACCACCGGAGCTAGCACCACCTCCACCGCCACCAGACACATCGTAACCAGAATTCCCCGTGGTTCTATGATAAGGAAAGAGATTAGGGTTTTTATTGGGTGAGGTAGAGTCATCGAAATGAGCGGTGTTACCTTTGGATTGTTCTGAGTAAAATCGCCGCGGAGAGGAAGTGACGAGGTAAAGAGTGTTGATTAATGGTGAGCGAGAATTGCCAGCGTTTGTGTAGTTGAAACCCAAATGCCTTAACTTAGATAACGCAGGAGTTGCTTTATTTATCAAGGTATCAATATTCATTTTTCAACGTGGGATTTATCAAAGTATCAATCAATTTTTATGAATATGTTTTTCTTAAATAGAAGCTTTTTTTTCCATTGTTTTCATGCATGTCTACTTGCACCGTAGTTGGATGGCTTCAACGGAACATTTTTCTACGTGGAATTTATCAAAGTATCAATCAATTTTTATGAATATGTTTTTCTTAAATAGAAGTTTTTTTTCATTGTTTTCATGCATGTCTACTTGTACCGTAGTTGGATGACTTCCACGGAACATTTTTCTACGTGGGATTTATCAAAGTATCAATCAATTTTTATGAATATGTTTTTCTTAAATAGAAGTTTCTTTTCATTGTTTTCATGCATGTCTACTTGCACGGTAGTTGGATGGCTTCAACGGAACATGTTGTCTCAACACTCCTTACTAAAATAACTTTTGATATGAGGAGTCTTAATCGAATTAGGTTATGATACCATTATTAGGTCTGAAGATCATCACATCGAGTTTTAGAAGCAACTATTCAATTAAGATAGACATCACATATTAACCCAAAACTTTAAGACATTGAGTTTATGGATCTTCTCTTTTATAAAGTGTTTAACATTCACTTTTCTATCTTATGTATGACTCATATTTACACTTGATATATCAACACTCTGTTACATTATAGTCTTTACATCGATAAAAAATCATGTGTACCCTTATTCATTCACATCTTCCTTGTTTTAGAGCTTTTCCTTTTCATATTTTAGCTTTTATGAGAGTTCGTTATATCATCGCTATTATGAAGAGTGTGACTTAATTATTATATAAGCAAGTTCGTAATTCCATTATTAATTCAATCAAAATTGAATATGTATTAGATTCATTATTCTATGTTATTATCTTTTTCATTTACTAAATATTGTATCATTTGTTATCTCGATCAAGACCTTCTTTTCCGCCGCCTTGGATGGCTCTTTAACCTACCGTCGATTGGACCAGAGGCCTTCTCTTCTGCCACCTGGGATGGCTCTTTAACCTACTGTCGATCCCATATTAGATCAGATAAGTGTCTTCTATGTTCACTCCAATGATGGTTCTTCTTCTGTTTCTGTCACTCCTGTTTTGACTAGTTCGAGTTATCATTCGTGGGCAAGGTCTATGTGTCGTTCTCTTGGTGTTAATATGAAGTTTGAGTTTCTTGATGGTATCATTCTGATGTCGGCAGATCATTTCGATCACATGCATCATGCTTGGAATCGATGCAACATGCTCATCCATTCTTGGATAGTGAACTCGGTAGACGCTTTCATTGCTCAATCCACCGTATTCATGAAAAATGCAGTTGATGTTTGGCTCAACTTGAAAGAGTGTTTCTCTCAAGGTGACATAGTTTGTGTTTTTGAACTTCAACATGAAATTTATGCAATCAAGCAAGATTCTCGAACGTTGGCTGAATTCTTCTCTGAACTCAACATTTTATCGAAAGAACTTGAGATTTGTATGCATGTTCCTACCTATATGTCTCATGTCAAATACATGTGTGAGGTTATGCCCACTTTCCACCAAAATCATTAAGTATTATATTTCATGGATTTTCTCACCGGTCTTAATGACATTTTTAGGGTTGTGAAATCTCAAATTATTCTCTTTGATCCATTACCACCAATTAACAAGATATTCTCCATGATTCTTCAACATGAGCGCAAACTTGCCCATATTGTGAAGAAGATGTTCATCATTTATCTTAATTTAGTTTTAATAAAGACAAAATATTACCAAAGAAGACAAAAGTTTATCAAAGAAAAAAAGTTTGAAGTAAAGCTCTATCAAAGTTCAAAGTTCAAATGATCATATGCATTTAAAGTTCAAAGTAATATGGAATTGATCTAAGATATAATTTACAATCCATTATATAATACCTCAATGACTCATAAAATAATACTCATATTTATCTTTAAAGTTCTCAAGTTATCATACATAAATTTTTTTAAAGCAAAGCCATAAAAAACTGATTTTTAAAAAAGTAGTTTTCACTTTTAAGTCAGGTTGGTTAACCGATTTAAGACAATTACATGACTATTTCTATTAGAAATTTGAAAATCATTATGCAATTTTTTAATCAGGTATTCATTTAATCAATTTAAGAAGTTATGTGCATGATGCAAAATTGTGTCTTTTCATGAACCATTGTCATTCTAAACTATTGCAAACCTTCATGAAAATTTCTCAAACTCTTGCATCAACTCACAGAGGTTTCTTATGATATATTTAAGGAAAAATACATTGGTTTTCAAATAATCTCTTTCATTATTAATTTTTTGCATCAATTCAAAAAATTTCAAGTATTCATATAAATTTTAACAATGAAACTTTGTGCTCAACTTTCATATCATTCAAAGTGTTTCATTCAAAAATTTTGAGCACTCAAGGTCTATATAATTGCATTATAATATATGAAAAGAGAAGATGAAATTTCATCTTAGAAATACTTAAAGAATTATTTTTATTCAAAATTTTCAAAGTATATTATGACTTAATCACCAAAGTGTGTGGTGATAAGTTTGTGTAAATAGAAAGTGTTGTACTTTTTGTCGTTGTGAGAAGCATCATAATGTTTGATGATTGTAAAAAAAATCATTTGATTTGGGGTGATTAAAAGTACATCATAGGTTTAATGTTTATGTTAGAAAATTGTAAAAGAGGTCTTGATGTGAGGCTTGTACAGACATATAAAATAGTGAAAACCCTTTAAGGTGTGAAGGGACTAGATGTGTCCTTTAAGATCATCAATTTGATTCAAGGTTCTAACCTCAATCATCAATTTGGAATTGTTGTTTCTAGTCAGGTTCGCTTCATACAATCATATGGTCTTACACCAGTTGATTCAAAAGGTATTCATTCTATCCATGCTTGATCTTGTAATAACTTTTCATCACAGTACAAGTCTTTGCTCATGGATAATAGATTCAGGAGCTAGTCACCATATATGTTCATCATTACACTAGTTTCACTCATATAGTGAGACTACTCCTATGATTATAAAGATACCTAATGGACATCATGTTATCACAAAGCTCATCGGCACTATTATTTTTCCCCTAGTTTCACCATTTTAAGTGTTCTTTATGTGCCTAAACTTACTATCAATTTGATTTCTATTTCTGCATTGTATCATAACTTGAATTGCTTGGTGTCATTTGTTGGTTTGAAGTGTCTTATTCAGGAACATAAATCACTGAGGATGATTGGTTCAACTGAGAGATTAAATGGACTATACTACTTGATCATTCCAAATAAGGAGATCTCCAACTCAAGCATAAACACGCTCAAATACCAAATAATGATCTATGGCACTTTAGGCTATGACATCTTTCACATTCAAGATTTTTTAACCTGAAAGGTCATTTCCCTTCATTATTAGTGATTAAAAGGCAATATGTAATATATGACATTTTGCTAAGCAAATGAAATCATCCTTTCCTCATTCTATAAATAAAGCTTTAAAGCCATATGATTTTATTTGCTTTGATATTTGGGGGCTTATTTCCATTACATTTGTATGCAACCATACTTACTTTCTAGCTTATGTGGATGACAATACTAGATGCACATTGATCATTCTAATGAAAAGTAAAAGTGGAACAAGACAACATGCTATGAATTTTATCAAACAAATTGAAACTCAACATAATTTCTCTATTAAGCCTGTGAGGACAGATAATAGTCCAGAAGTTATCATGTCTTATTTTTGTGCCTCTAAAGGCATCATCCACCAAACTAGTCGTGTAGAAACTCCCCAACAAAATGGGAGAGTTGAGTGGAAGCATCAACATATCTTGAATACTAGAAGAGATATCCTATTCCATTCAAAATTACCTAAACATTTTTGGTCTTATGTAGTGTCTCATGTTGTGTATATAGTAAACAGAGTTCCTAGCCTAATTCTTCAAAACAAGTCCCATTTCTTTTTCTACATAAACAATTACCTGACTTACACTCCTTAATGGTTTTTCTATCTTTAGTTTATGCCTTAAATCTCCATTCTAGTAGAACAAAATTGGACCATGGGGCAATAAAATGTGTATTTTTATGATACAAAGCTGGTTTGAAGGGTGTTATTCATTATGATGTCAATAACAAAGACATCTTCATATCCATAAATACTAAATTCCATGAACATATTGTTCCATACCTAGTTACTCAAACCATCACCATTTTGACCTATCACCCATCCACTCATTTAGACAATAAATAATTAGATCATACACCTTTTTCTCATACACCTGGCTCAACCCTAACAACCATTTTCACACAATCCCCTCAATCTATCACATCCCCAGATCCACATGAAAAATCCATAGATCACTTAATACTTACCCCTAGTCCAAACAACACAAACATCACATCTAAACCAGTAAGGCAGAGAAAATCTCCTTCTTATTTGTTTGATTATATATGTGATACTTCATCTAGTAACTCAACTGAATATGCCCTCTCAGGTATTTCATATCCTTTCTCATTTTTTAATTCACTCACACACTTATCTCTTTCACACAAGGCATTTATCATGTGTATGTCACACTTCGTTGAGCCACAATCTTATTTAGAAGCAAAGGATTCACCTTATTGGTTAGAGGCCATGAATCTTGAAATAGATTCCCTTCACAAAAATGGAACTTGGATCTTCATTGATCTTCCATATGTAGTGAAGTTTATTGGAAACAAATGGGTATATAAGATCAAGTATAAAACAGGTGGGTCTATTTAGAGGTATAAGGCAAGGCTCGTCGCAAAAGGATACAATCAAGTGAAAGGGTTTGATTTTTTTGATACTTTCTCGTAAGTGGCAAAGTTAACCATAACCAGAACCTTGCTTGCCATTTGAACTATCCGAAATTGGCATATCCATCAATTAGATGTCAATAACACTTTCTTACATGGAGACTTCTAAGAGGATATGACTATTCCTAAAGGAGTGCAGGGTCTCAAACTAACTTAGGTATGCAAGTTGTTGAAAAGCTTATATATGCTTA